GAGAAGCCCATCGGGTGCTTCTGCTTTCCTTTTCGTTGGCTTTTGAGCATTACTCCAAACTTCTAGTTCTTTTAGGGCTTCATGTCTTACTGCCCACGGAATTTTCGCTGTGATCACCTGAATAACCGTACTAGCACCAGTCGAGATAAACTGTTCACTCAATTATTCTACCCAGCGTTTAGGTCGTTCTTCTTTATTGTGAACACTCCACATATATCGCAAATGGCTTCGCTGAACGATATGCGAAGACCACCGGTGCTGCTTATTAGGTAAAGCAGTCCCAACTTGTTCCCTCACGCTAAAGCTACTTCCAGTTCACTGGCTATTTTGGTCCACCAGGTTCCGCGATGTTTCTTGAGGCTTTTCCGGACCTGGCGTTGCAGACACCAGAAGTTCCTAGGTTATTTCAGGTAGATTTGGATCTTTCGCTTTTCTTTTCATCAGAACTACTGACTCCTGGGAAATTCAATGTCTTCGACGAGCTTCGGGCTCAGCCCAACAAGCGAAGGTTGCTGCTGAATGTATTACACTTCTAATTGCATCTCACCGTTGATGTTCTCCACCAATTAGTGGTGCTCCTAGCTCCTATCTAAGCTCTGCCTAGAAACAGATGGAATTTTTTGTTCACGCTAACGATAATACGCTAACTGAGGAGGTGATTTTTTTCAGTACCTTATGAGTCGAAACATGAAGCGCATCAGAACTAGTGCGTGATGAAACTGCACGCAAGTCGTTCAATACGATCTGCAATTTTTACTGAGCCGCGCCATCGGCAGCTTACCGCTGTGGTCAACTTGTCTGTTGAACTAGAACACCATGTTTCCTTCCGGCGAAAGCCCTGTCGAAAGTTAGTGCTAGATAAAAACAACGGATTAGCTGCGCAAAACTGAAGCAGTCGATCACCGTTGTTTTCTTCGCTGGGCCGGTAAAGAGAAGCATCTCCCTAAACGGTCTTCGGGTGCCCTCAGTTTTCTAACCTGCGCTTTGAACTCAACTGCCATTACTATATTCTCAGAACTGCCGCCCAACCGAATGAGTTCGGTGAGTTTGTCGTAAAATTCTTCCTTCTTTCAGTTGGGATTACGTTTACTTGATAAAGAAACGATGAGCAAACACCTTTTAGTGTTGCTTTCGAACATTAACTTAACCCTTTATCCGTACTGCGCACAAACGACCATTGACGGGTGTTCAGTCTATCAGTGAGGCCTCAGATTTATTGCCTAGTGCACTTCCTACCCCACGCTGATCCACTGAGCGGTCTTCATCGTCTCCTAGAGGACAGGTTCGGTGGGTTTGAGGGATTTATGGTAATTCGATTCTGAATTCGTGTCTCCGATGCGCAACAAACACCAACTTGCAAAAAGTCCTTTGTATGCGCAGGGCAGGCTTGCTGACCTACCTGCATCACAGTCCTCATGTTGAAGTTATCCAGCTTGAGAAATTGACGAGGCTCCAGAATCTGCAATGTATTTGGTGATAAGCTATCTACAGCGCTCTTTGGCAACTATCTCTGACGAGTGATAAACAAGTTGTCCATCAGAATGTCGCGGGTTGGTAGGAGGGGCAAAAGGAAGCCGTTTGGTATAGAAGACAAAGTCATACAAAGGTTCGTATGTCTGAGCAGTACCAGGTTCTTTCCACTATCCAGTTGTAAACTGCGATCCCCAATAGATAGCATGAAAGAATTGCAACCATAATGTCGGCACACGGGTGCATGTTAGCACCAAGTTAGTTTACATTCGCTGGCATGTAACGGCTTTTAGCGCAGCAGCATCATCATTGTACAGCGTAATACAGTGAAGCGAACTTCACTGATCTCTGCCAAACTCCTGTCTCATATAAGGTAAGTGAGAATGTGTAAGGAGGATAAGGATTGGAGTTCCTTTTAGGAACGGGAAAAGAAAGTGAACCTCTGCGGTCACCACAGAGTACACAATCCAGACTGTGCATACATACTATTTCAAGCATTCTAGTCTGATAAGAAGTGACAGCAAGATCGTCATTGCTGTCTGCTCGCAACCATGACCTTCAGTGTCTGCAACCATGCGGTTACGGAGTCTTTTAGACCCCAACCCGGAAGACGAGACACCTACTCTACCTAATCGCACGGTGCATTTCTCCATACCTCGTCTCCATCTCATCTGCTGGTCTCTACGTAGCTTCCTCCAGTCTGTAACAGTCACTGCGAATAAGGCGCGCTGCGGTAGGCGACCGTCGGACATACGCAAGACTTGTCCTAACCAACGAAGCCTATTGAGCTAAATTCAATGCGCAGCGGAAATAAGGCTATCGATGTATCACCAATTTCACAGGTATTTCCACCAAAAATGGCGTTTTCATTCCATCATAACTCGTTTTCTTCGGGTTCCATACTGGTTAATGACTGCTCCTATTTCCGTTTTCATCAATTCAACATTTTCTTTTGGTCGATCCTTGACTACTCGTAAAAATCAGTTTTCTGCGGTGAAGAGTGAAACGCCATCGAAAGACCCGCTTTGGCTGGATTTGTGAAGAATATCACCTTTGGCTTGGTTATCTTTCCATTCGCCTTGACAAATGCGGTAGCGAAACGACAGAGTAACTCCATGAGTCTAGGTTAAGCAAAAATTAACTTGATTTATAGTATCGACTAATTTTTGTCTTACTATTCGCTGTTCACAAGGGTCACTCTTCTTCCTCCTAAACTTCATGCATTGTGCCCACCACATTCATGCTGCAGTTTCTTTCCGCGGACGGCTATTGATCGAGACTAGCCCTCTAACTGTGAACTACACCGCTTCGCCGTTGTTCGAACCCGGTTGGATTTCTGTGCCCTCGGCGCAAATATTGGCTCAGCCCGCATTCTTCTTCCTCTCTCAATCGGAAACTAAACCGGAACAAACTCGTTTCTTCTCCGTTCCAGTTGATCCGAAATCTGGTCTCTTCTGTGCTCTGCTTCCCAGTGGTAAGTTGCTTTTGTGTGTCGGCATTTGCAACTCTATGTTCAAAATCGGTGTGCTTGCAGCCAGGTCAGTGGAAACCACTGCTGTAACACAAGCCTTTTTCTTCCTGTTTTCCTCCCATTGTTCATCCAAATGGGCAGCCAAAATACAGCTACCAAAAGTGACGCACGGACTTGCATACCTAATGGTTGTTTAAACTGAAAACTGAAACTTCGATCTTATAACTGCTCCGGTGAAACGTTTATTAGCTGTGAACGACATCTTTCGTTGCTCATTGCCTTGAGTGAAACGGTGAAGGCAGGTTCACTGTTTTACTCGTCTGTGAGAGCTGCTGCAGCATATGAGCATACCTTTCTCTCTCAGTTTATCATATCGTGAATCGTATAGATAGAGCGATGTAACAAAGTGACACCGGCTTGAGGATATCCGCGTTTATTTTGCTTTTGGAGTGTAACAACGACAGGGCCGTTGTGAGGACAACCGTTAAACGTAATTTTATCACGGTTTCTCACCTAAGCCTCACAAGGGACACTCCCTTGTTTGTTCGCTAGCTAGTCTCATTTTCGTTATTTGCGCTACAAAATGAACAGCAGGACAGAAATGAATTTAGTCGCGCAATATTTTTTGATATCGTGGGAATGGATAGTAGAAAAACAAGTGATGAAGTGAAACGCAAATCGATTCAGTTCAGAATCGCAGAGTGACGCAAAATAGCATTTGTTTTTTTCACCGTCTCAAGACGATCAATGCCTTACCCTGGTCTTTTCTGTGAATTTTTCGTCTGTTCTGTGATTTATTATAACGCGTTGTAGGAACCTTGTGAAAGGCCGGTAAGCTGAAACCAACGTCTTATTTTTATGTATTTCTATACAGTTTTCAGCTTTTACAACCGTTAACCATGCACTTTCATGCTCCCGTTTTGGTTGCTGTCTTTTGGTCGCCCATTTGGGTTAAAAAGAAGGATAAAGACTGGAAGTTGAAAGCCGATTCAAGCAGAAGATAGCGAATTCATGTAGACTGGTGTTAATAGAATAATGAGTAGATGCACGAGCGCCACTGTTTGCGACACCCAGCCATATCACTCAGTGTAGCTAACCATCAATGACCATCATATCGGGGTCCCCAGCCAGGGAGCTTTGAGGGATCTAGGTAACCCAGTCTCCTGGTTAGGGTTTTCATACCCTCATGCCAGGTTTTTGTTTGACCACCATTGACCTTTTCACAAACGCTCCCTGGCTCGGCAAGCATTGCTCGCCGCGGCAACCTATCTGGCGGCATGCGTAACACATGAACCAACCAGCGTAATCCAGGAAGGTCGACTACTTGCTCCACTGGACAATAGCGACTACCTAAAACTCTATGCCTAACATCAGCGTTGCTCGTCCGGTTACCCCACCAGACTCGTGCTATGTGACAGACAGTGGTGTTCGAACACCGACAATCTATTCTTATCCTGTTCCCTTAGTGGCCAAGTCTCTGTACCGTAGTGCAATACTGGCCGAACTGCTGCAGCATATACTCGACCGTTCACAGGCAGCTGGATGTCACGACAGCACCACAGATGTCTCAGTTTGGCAAACGCCGACCGAGCCTTTTGTGTGCGAGCTAACATTTCATCTGTAATGCGTTCGCCAGGTGAGATATAACATCCCACATACCAAAATGGGTCAACTTCCCCAGTCAGAGTGAGGTTGGGGTTTGGATCCACCCAATCGTGTAACAACATTTTACTCATTGAAGGTGCAAAACGCGTGCCGAAGATGGCTACACTAGCACTCAAGCTATTCAGAAAAGCTTGCAGCTTACCGGCATCTTCGCCTAGCAGCACCTTGTCTTCTGGATATTATAGATCAACCAGCCTGCCATATGAGAGTAAATCGATATCGATATCCTCGCATGAAGATAGGGCAGTTTCAAGAATCAAATATATCACAAAGTTAGATAGAAAAGGAGAGAGGGTAACCCTAATAAAGACCACTTTCTGTAGTGAACTCGGATGAAAAAGTGCCGTAAGCTCGGACTCGGCTCCGGGTATTATTGTAGAGGGATTGTAATATTGAAGTAAACTTCTCGGGCACATCCTTCAGGGAAAGGCAGTGCCAGAGTTTAGAGCGGTCGACTGAGTCGAAAACCGCTTTCAGATCTAGGAAGATAGAGATGGTGGGTCTACGAAAGGAGTATCTGTGTTCTAGAATTTAGCGAAGATGTGGTCGATACAACCTCGATCAAGTCTAATACCAGCCTGATTCTCACGTGTGCATTCTTCACGTGCGGCGGACACTCGACGGAGAATTTTAGAAGCAATGTTGATTAAACTAAGTCCTCTGTGGTTTTCACAAGAGGATCTGTCCTCCTTCTTGTAAATCGGCATGATGACCGATTCACACCATTCAGTTAGAACCTGTTAACTTTCCCAGCAGTTTCGTTAACTTCGAAACCAAGGCTGATCCTCCACCCTTAAACACCGATTGGGACAGCCCATCCGGGCGAAGGTTTTATAACATTTTAAATGACAGATTTCCCGGGTAACCTGCATTTCGGATGAAGGACTGACATCAGCTCGTGAGGTTCCCCCTGGACGGGTATCATCTGAACTCTGTCTTAAGATATTCTTTCTGCTCGTACTAGAATACGGCTGTGCTGAATATGAATCAGTGTGCCGACAGAATTCTTAGGTACCTCACGCTTTCTTTCCTGGGTCCCGTACTCGTAATGAAACGAAAAAGATTGCGAATATTACCAATAGCCGCACCCGTCTTTATCTCTCTACACTTCCCTACCCATCACTTCTCATGGTCATTTCTCAGATTCTGGCGTTTAAGGGTTTTGCGCGCTTTCTCGTATTTTGAATCCGAGGGAATGGCTTTGCGAGCGTCCAGCAAGGCAACCGAGGTCTGGAAGATCCATCGTTTTTGATTTGCTTGTGCGCCGGAATCTGCCGTTATTTGGATCGCTTCGTTGATTGCCATCCGCTGTTCAGTGAGTTCTTCGGCTGATGGTTGAGCTGAGGGGGGAGCGGATAGTTTCGTTTCGTAGGCCGATTTGCATCCATTGCTGATACTGTATTGTGCACATCCGTTTTCGGTGGCTTTTCGGCGGTTGTTGACTAGGCGTACGAAGAATCTGGCTCGTAGAAGAGCATGGTTCATGTCCACGGGTGTTGACCAATAAGAGCGGCAGTCCTGAATCAATCCTCGCCAGCGGTGGCTGATGGCAATATGGTCGATTTGGCTCCAGTGCTGTGAAGTGGTTGGCGGTTTCCATGTAAGGCGTTGTCATTTATCGTGTGAGATGTTGGAGCTTGATAGAAACAGTTCGTGGTCAGCACAAAGTTGGAAAAGGCGTTCTCCGTTGTCAGTCCGGTTAGCTGGGATTGCATGTTGTGCAAATCCACAACTATGTAATTTTCCATTTTGGAGTTCACATGAGCATTTTAGAGCTTAGTTACAATGAAACGAAATTCTTTTCTCACTGACCTCAAGCCAAGAACAACAGAGATGAGACTGTTACCCTAAGCAGAAAGCATCTGTCTGCAGTCCGAATCTAAAGACCCGGTCCCCCTAGTTTCTGGAGAATCATATTCAGTTGAATAAAGTGTGCAAGAATGAAATCACCGGTTTGTCGTACCTGGTCTGAAGTCACTGTGTTTCACACCAAGGAATTCAACAAATCGAGTTTTTAATAGCATGTATAATCTTAACCACAGCGAGCAACCCACCGAAAAGTACCTGAATCGTTCATTGAGAAAAATTTAAAGCACTGCCTTGTTTAGCATCACCCTCGCACTATCCACTTTCGCTTTTACTTTGGAGCTTCGATGGCCGTCAGAATGTATACTAAACTTATGCACTTATCTTCTTACCTTAAAGAACAATTTCGCGGTTCTTTTACGAATACGCCGATCGATCATCTGAATAAAGGTTTCCTACTTTTGGCCCGCACTGACTTCTCTAACCGTGGAGCAAATGCATTCCTTTTCTACCGCTTTTTGATTTCGCCGCTCAGCCAATATTGTTTTTTCCGTTTCCTTACCTTACAAAATTTTACGCACACTTCACTCCTATTCTCTCTCTAGGAACATATTTGGCTTTTGCATCAGCCGGTGCGGAAGACAATGTTTTGGGCAAAGCGTACGAGGAAGTGGCTCTGGCCGTTTCCCTCCGTCCGGATCAAAACAATGGTCGCATTCAAATTCGATTACAAAGACAAGTTTCGAAGATTGAATTTCACAGTCCGGCTGATATGAACAGACGGTTACAACGTTTGGCAGAGGGCTCGTCTGAATCACGTTGTGGACAACTTCGATCCATTGGTAAATCGGCCGGCGTAAGTTGTTTGACCGTTCAACACTGTTTACGGAATTTCAATGTATTTTAACTGTAGGTAACCGAAAGAGCTTTTGCTTTTTAGTGTTCTCGGGTCATCAGTCACATCGGACGTTGAAATGTGTTAACTGATCCCATGTATGCACGGTCCTGTATAGGAGTGGTTTTGGTTATTTACCAATGCCGATTCCTGAATGCGTGTGTTACCGGAGTCCGGAACCCTTTATATATACATTGTTTTCATTATCTCATGTACCTATGATCTCGGCTTCAGCAGATTTTGGTTTGCTATTTCCCTCTGTTACACTGCAAAACCGCTCAGATCCGAGAATAGACAAGTCGGTGATATAAAACAAAGCAGGGGGCTAATATTAACGGTGGGTGGTGAAAATCAGCGCTATGTGTTCTGAGAAGAATTCTTACTCATACAGAGGAGGAAAACACTACTGTGTAGCGGAATCCACGCTTGCTGAGTCTTATGGAACCCTTAACAAATCGATTGCAGGTTCTTACCAGCATATTACACTGTGCAGCTCATACTGCTTATATTTCTTTATTGAAGAAATAGCTACCTATTTCGTTAGATCTTTATTAATCACTGTTAAACTAGTTTGGTATCACTCTTTCTTATGCGTTTTGTCGTAGCTTCGATAGTCCAGATGACTCTTTTCTCAGCTCAGCATACTCGAATGAGAACCATTCATATCCCACCACCTGCGCAACACTGCGGACGCATTCCTATGTACTCGAATGGTAACTGCAGATGAGCATTTAAACAACAGGTACACAACTCAAACCTCCTTCCAATCTGTATTGTTTTTAATTAGCCGGATGAAAATATGAATTAAACACGGATGATTAGTAAATAGACCTGTACATGCACGGGGGTATCCCTTACCACGTATACGTAGGAATGGGTAACTCTCGCATGCCCACCGGACACAAAGTAGTCGATAATTGTGTGTTTATGTTGCCTATCTTTTTCTTTTGAGACGATATTTCGTACTTCCAAAGTGCAACATATAACACGGCTTTATGGTTGATCTTTTCACAAGGTGAGTTGTAACTTTGTTTGGTTGGAGCCATGTGCTTCATTTGATGCATTCACTCCTCCCTATTTTACATTCAGGGAGAAGATTTGTACGTATTCGAGATGGGTTTGAACCGCTCAATTCTGCGACTAAATCCCGTCCAGACAAATAGTGAAGGGAACGAAGAGTACGAAAGGTTGCTGCCCGCAGATGAAGACGCCTTGAACGGCACTCAGTTGTTTGCTTCTCTGTTTCCCAAAGTGATCCTGTTTGGCAATCTGGATGGAACAGATCTTCTCACTCCGCAGCTATTGACCCATTTTGTCGAGTGGCTCTGTCTGCATCGAGAAAATCAGAGCGCTGTGACACGCTTACTGTCGACAGTTCAATTGGCTGTTATCCCTGTCCCCAATCCGGATCGGTTGTCCACTGCCTGGGAAAACACACTCAGTCAATCTCGTAGGGATCTAATGGATGAGGAAGTTTGCCTGACCTCGGTTGAGTAAGTAAATGTGTGTCAACGACCAACTTTTCGTTTCATTCATTCCATAACATGCCCATTTCTCTCGCTCGAATTTAGTTTACCCATCATCTAAATGTAGCACCATCAAACCCTGCTCGTATGTCTACGAGACGCGCAGAATTGATAGAACCATACCGATCTGTATTAAAATGACAAGGACCCTCAATTTATCTCCTCGGGGGTCGTGCGTTCCAACCCCAGCACCGCCTCCTTACTTTCCCCATTTGTCTACATCATATAGCAACCCTTAGTTTCGTCGCTTCTCCCCCCCCCCATTCCTGTGTTTGTACAATCGTGTATTAAGTAAAACGAGGTGCAACAGGAACATGTGTCAAAATATATGGTCGATACAGACAAGTTAACCATTTTTCAGCGACTGTTTTTCTCTGTTCTCTGACAGCAACCATGTGACCGCCTCACATCTCAACCTATATTTGATATTCCAAACGCACCATGAAACTTGCTGCTCTGCAATATCGCAAGCAGACGAACTGAGTGTTTAAACCACGAATATTTCTGCCAGTCCATCAAAAGCTGTCATGCCTCCAAGTCGATACATTTCACGTTCACTTTGCAGATTAGTACTTTATACACGTTGTGAAGTTGGCACGGATCCGCGGATTTCGATTCCCTGTACCTCGTTGCACGATCATAAGGATCGGTTTTGATGAGATAAGATACGTAAATAAAAAATCAGGTGAAACTTGCCTCAACCACTCATTTCGTTCTATCCTTTTTAGTGACCTTAGCAACTTTCTCACTGACTGAAGTGAAACCGCCTTTTAATCATCGTCCTCATCTAAACTAACGATTATTTTACTGACCATACCAATCCCACCGCAAGAAAGTGAAGTGGTTAGTACCGCTTTCTCGCTGTCCTTTGCATTTCATCCCCTCAAACTACAGTAACAAATAGATGGTTGCTCTCTTGGGCAACGCCGTAAAGTTGACTATACCAGTCATTAAACCAACTAAACGGATCTGAAGTTACTTAACTTGTTAATAATCCATAGGTGGTCCGGATCATAAGCTTGTTTTTTCGAGAAACCGATTAAACTGGCTTGACAAAGGCCTTCCAAGAAGGTCGAAACGTTGTCACCGATATCTTGTGTTTTGGTACTCACGTTGTGGCTGAAACAAACCTCATTCTATTGTTACTTAACTTGTGTTGAACACAGTACAAAGCAGTTCGCCGCTGTGCTTTCTGTTCAGTTGTGTTGACGAGCTTACCGCTGTTGTTGGTCGTAACCTTACAAACACTTTTAGTCCGCAAATCATTTGCCTTTTCTCGAGCCATTCATTTTTCTGTTTCGTCGTCTGCGCCAATCGCATTATGCTCGTACTCAGGCATTTCTTACGAGGCAAAATAATGACATACTGTTTTGCCCTTTTGTGTTGCTACCCTCCTGTGTTCTCTACCTGGCTGTAGCGGTACCTACAGTTCCTCTGCTTTTTTCAGCAACCGTCGAACGTCTTATGAACTTTGATGTTTGAGTACTTCGTAGGACCAGCTGTCCTGCGCGATAATTTGTTTCTTCCCATTCTAGAAATGTAGCGTTTCTATAAGCAATATTAATTTTGCTCGCTGCTGAAATAATCTTGTAGAGCAATACTCTAATGACCAACACAGTTCACGAGGAGGTATCTGCATTAACTTTGTGGACACAACAGTGAAATGAGAGAAGTGCTACTACAAGTGTCATTCGCTTATCAGGTGGTACTGTTTAAATAGTTCGAAATATGCAGTCCAAGCTATCACATTGATCAAAGTTGTACTTTTTTCTTTGGTCTAAGCAAACATGTTCATGTTTGGTTGAGAACATTAGGTTCGAAATTTTCTGCTTTCCTTGTAACTGCTGGGGACGTTGTTTTCGATTTGTAATCACTTTCCTCCGTTATTTCGTTTATCTCAACAGAAATGGTCCTCCAGAAATCTCGTGGCGATTTTCGACCACAGAAAGCGATGGTGATCGAATGCGCCTGTGGAATGAACTCATTGGTTAGTTCCATCACTTCTTCTCAAGAAATACTTGAATGGGTATGCTGCAGCAGTTTGGCCAGTCCTAATCTCCGGTGGAGAAACCTGGCCATTGCAGGAACTGAATAGAAAAAGATTTGCCGTTTTACTATATGTGGTCTACGAATGAATAGACATAGTTTCCGTGGAAGCACACGACCGGTTTCGCGGTTCTTGCCGTCCGGCTCTTGCTCTTCTTGCTCGTCCGACATGCAATGAATAGACATAAGACTTCTGAGTACGCATGCCTAAGGAGCGGCAGGAACCGCGAAACTGGTCGTTTGCCTTCAGGGAAAGTTCGTTCAGTCATTCATACACCACGTATTTTAAAATATTCCATAAAGATGCTTGAGTCTGGTTTGTTAGGGTTCATAACATCTAATCCACCTACAAAACATCAAATCACTGTATTGATTCATCAATAAACTGGTCCTGAACGAGCTGTGCAAACAAGTTTCCCCGGTGTTGCAGATGGGGTTATTGGGACTAAAATATAGATTGTCGGTGTTGGAACACCGCTGTTTACGCCGCGTTGCTCGAGCCCGGTTAGGAAATCGGAAAGGCTGAGGTCCACTTGAACAAGTGTTTGGGACATGTTTTGCGCATGCCACCAAATTGGTTACCATAGCGCATGATGTTTGCCGAGGATGGCAGCAGACGGAAAAAGGTCAGGGGAGATCAAACTAAGACGTGGCATGATGGAATGAAAACCCTAACCAGGAGACTGAGTCACGTCGGTGTCTTTATGCTTCCTGGACCATGATAACCGGTGGTTGGAAACACAGAGTGATATGGAGCTGGTGCATCTATTCATTATTCAATTTCGGTCCATCTTCACTTTGGCTCTGCTCTCAACGTCCCAAACTTCATTTTGCTCTGCTATCCAAATGGGCAGCCAAAAGACAACCAGAACCAGCGCACGACAATGCATTGTTAGCGGTTTGTGAAAACTGAAACTGATGTGCCTTACATAAATCTTGTGGGGCAGGTATATATATATATATATATATATATATATATATATATATATATATATATATATATATATATAT